TGGTGGTTATATAATAGTAAACGAACAATAAGTGAAAGATGAGACAAATCCCCATGAGTAAAAAGTGGATATTCCGTCGAGATTTGTAACGTTAGATCAACTATCTCTGACGGTTATATGATGATTTAACGGTTACAAACCTCGACGGAATAGTTTCGTAACGGAAACGTGATCGATTATTTATAAAAACATTTAGACTGCATTAAATGTGTTTTTTATTATTGGTTAAAACAAAAATTATGGTTGATAAATAAAATTAGTTAAAACTTATTAAGTTTTTAAATATAAAGTAATGTAATACGACAAATAATAATTCATCGTTGTATGAAAAAAAAAAAGTAAAGGTAAATGGATGGATGTAAATTTTATAGATAAAATAAACAGTAATAATTACTTTTACACTAGTATTCATTCTGTGCACATGCACAAAGAAAAATAAAAATTTATATATTATATTTATGTATATAATATATAAAAATTTTATATTAGATAATTGATGTATTACATTTTAAATTCTGACTACATACAAATGTGTAATGTAAATATAATTTATTTAAGTTACATATGAATCTTTATATTGATGTCATACATTTTAATGGCTAATATAATTTAGTAATTTAGATGAACCATACAATTAATTAGTTAGAAAAATATTACAATTATTTTTATCATTGTTATAGCATTTGTTTATGTGATTTTAAGATATTTAATTATGACACTCATGTCAATTAACTAATATTAGATAAAAATCGCTTAAAAAGAACAAAAATATTTCATTTTAGAAAAAGTACTTTAAAGAAAAAAAATTGCTATACAATTTTTTATAAGTATGTAACTTCTACATACTATTTAATGTAAAGTTGTAATCAATTAGTGTTAGTAGTGAATAAATTATATTCAAATTATCATTACACTTTATTAATGTAAAATGTAACGGTTTTACATTAATTGAAAAAATGAGCGGGAAAATGAATGGAGGTTTTATTAAATGTTTTATTAAATACTATATGCCAGCAATTATATATATATAGATTCTTAAATATAATGAAAAAATATGTGTTTGTTATACATAAGTGGAATCTTACCACTATTAAACATTATCATTGTAATTATTATATTATTAGTGTGTGGGTTGCATTGAATTGTGTGCACAAAATGTGCCTATAAAAGGCAAGTGTTTCTTACAATTTATGGACGAAAAAGTAGTGAAGAAGGAAAGATATTTCAGTACAACTGATATCCGGTTTTTA